ATGATAATAATAATAATAAATATTATTATTATTATTATATATATAATAGAAAATAATATATAATAAAAATATTATATATATAATTTTTTTATTTTTATATATAATAATAACTAATTATTATAATTCTTAATTTTTTAAATATTAAACAAAAAATATTTTTGTATATAATTTTTTTATAAAACATTTTTTTCAAGTCGAGGTCAACCTTACGAGCTTTTGTCGAGCCGAGCTCGAATAGCTAGCTATTCGCCAATATATGGTGCCATATTTACTAGCTCAATTTGGCCCGAGAAAAGGGCTATCACTCTTTCTTGCTCATCTCTAAAAACACCCACAATTTTGTAAGGACGTGGATTCCCTATAGAGCTACCATCAAAGTTCAATTTCACCCTACAATGTAAATGAGGGGACCAAGATTATTGAACAGAAGGAGAAGAAGACGAGGAAACAACTATTGTACTCCAACCTCTAATCAAGTCATCTAAAGATACGTCCTTGAAGTGATCTAGAGATTTCATCTAGTGGATGACCTTGATGGTAATGCCTTCTATAAGTTCCTCTTTTGTTGTTCTCCACATCACCCTACCCCTCTTCTTTGGAAGTCGGAAGAAGCTTGAGTCAAAAAGGTTTACCACACTCAAGGGAGGAATCCACCTGCAAGCAAAAAGAGAGGGGAACCAGTTCAAAATGTAAGAAACAAATGAATATTAGATTAATAGATGATACACTGTCTCTCCATTCCTTAAACAAGGCTACAAATGTGTGATTAATAGATGATACACCGTCTCTCCATTCCTTTTTCTTTGAAACACATCCATAGTATTGATCTTTTGGAGAGCCACTTCCCAACAGAAAGCCCTAACCTTTGGTGGTACAAGATTAATTCACATTTCTTTTATAGGAAAGGAAGCAGGCAAAGAAGTAGACTGAAGAAGAGCATTGAAAAAAGAAGAAGAAAATTAACCCGAGGAGGACTTTGACCAAAATCTACCATTCAAACATGACTGGTCTCAAAAGATTGAATTTAAAAGAGAACAAATCATTAGTCAATTCCACTTCTGAGTCCCTTAAAGCTCTCATTAAACCCAAATCCCAAGAGCACTCAAGGGCTTGAAAAGACGAAATAACCTTGAGTTTATTTAAGGGCATAAATACTTGGGAACTTATCCTTAAGATTGATGTCCCCAATTCAGATATCCTCCCGACAATGGTTTTCCAATGATCCAAAGCAGGTAGGACTCCAACAATGGCTTTCCAAGGAGATGAGATAGAAGACCTAGGGTCAAGTCCAACTACCACTTTATGCCACAATATGTCTTGCTCCTTAAGAAACCTCCAGAACCACTTTCGTAGCAAGGCTAAGTTTCTTAACCTAATGTTACCGATTACTAAGACCCCTTGGTTCCTCTTTCTGGATGCTACTCTCCACTTCACCCTTTTATCCTTTTTAGAGTCTCCTGGCTTCCAAAGAAAGTCTCATAATCTTTTCAAACAGGTAACTGAAGGTGGACAAGAAGTAAATTAGTAGGTTGGCCAGTGTAAATCTAATTAAGGTTATTCTACCCCTTAAGAGATGTAATTCCTCTTCTACCTTGCTAACCTCAATGTGACCCTCTCCACAATTGGGTACCAGAAGCTATTCGTTTTAGTTTACTCCTAAAGGTAAACCTAAATAAACCAAAGACAAGGTCTTACCTCACAACCTAAGGTCCTGGCCAAGGAAAACACCTCTTCTTCTTTGGTTCCCCTTTGGTTCCTCTCTCAAAATGTGTTACCAGTAGCCTCAAGTTTTCCTTCTCCTTTGGTTCCCCTTCATAAAGTAGTTTAATATCATCTACAAATTGTTAGTGACAATCACTTCTTGTCTCCCTATTTTCCAACCTCTGATTAAATCCCTTGAATCAGCCCTAGAAATCAGACTAGTCAAAACATTTGCTACTAAAGTGAACAACGGTGACATAGGGTCTCCTTGCCCAAGACCCCTTTTCACAGGGAAGAAATCCTTGGCTACACCATTTACCAATATGGAGTGATGACAAATGACACTCCATAGACACAAATATTAGCTGCAACACGTGCAAGATGAGTCTAATAGAGGAAAGAAAACTAATCTTCCCCTATAAACACCTCCTCTTGGTTAACACCGTTCTCATCCCATCTCCTTCCACCAACTACCCCTTTTCTCGAACTTTCTTCCTTCTTCCTCTCAAACTCTTCAAAGGCTTTCTCGGAAAATTCCTCACCCCCCAGAAGAAAAATCCCAAGGTTTTACCAATTTCAACATCCTTTTTAGCCACTGCCTCAAAAGAAATACTTTTATCAACTACTTACCCAGATTGGAGGTGCATTGAGGATTCTCATTATCAAAAACTTTATCAAAAGCCAATTTCAACATCCTATTTACTGCTCTTATTCATAAAAAAAAAATCTTACTGTTCTTCCTCTTATACACCTTTTTAAAATTCTTTGTAGGCCCAATCCCAACCAAACCAAGCTTCAGGTGAGACTGCGAGAAAAGACTTTGGTTACGTGTACAGTATGAGAATATCTTACTCTAGAGGCTCCTCGAACTTTTTTGGCTGTCGCTGGCTTAACCACATTTAAATCTTTCTTCGCTTCCCCCTTCCTACCCAAATCTACACCTAACCTCCTAACTACCACCTCCTCGAAACAACGAAAATCATCAGCATCGTCTTCGGTTTGGGAAAAGGAGCCGATTTCATCGCTCTGATTTTCGCTTCCTCCATCTCCAAAAACAACGACTCCTTCTAAGACAGCATCAACAATCCCTCTCGAGACATTCTCCCTATCCGATAGGCCAGTCTCCATCTCTTCGTGTATCTCCCTACCATCATTAGTTGTGATTTCCTTCTTAGTAGGAGAACCCTCAGACGTTGAAACAGAGATCTCCTTTGGAGTTGCACCTTCGCATCTCTCCACTGGATCTCCCCTAGTTTGATCACATCGGCCATGACCATCCACAATGCTACTAGAGTTTCGAATTACTTCAACAGAGCTCTCCTTTATAGTTGCACCTTCGAAGTCGGTAGTCCACCGATTCTCGCCTGTTATGGATGGTTGAAAATAGGTAACGGAAGAGGTCTTATTGTGATTTCTTTTGGTCTCCAATGCTAAGTGTACCCTGATTTCTACTCCTATTATTATTAAAGTTACATTGCATATTCCATTTTAGTCATACTTATTTTAAAGTCTCTTGTTTCTAAGGTTTTGTTGAAAAATCTAATTGTGCATTTAATCCTTCTTTAGTTTCACTAATTAATATAATGTCATCTGAAAACATGCACTGTGGAACCTTCTCTGCCACAGATGTTCTAACATTGTCTGTTTTCCCCTCATGCATGCTCTTAACTAATTCCACATACCTATTTGGCAGTCTTTTCTTTTTCCAAAACCCACCTTATCATCTCTCTAGGTAGTGGTGCAACTTGGATGGGCTCAGGTTGGGATTTTCCAAAACCCACCTTATCATATGCTTTCTATGGATCAATGAATCCCATATGAAGACCTCTCTTCTTCTCTCTGATTTTTTCTATCAATTGTCTTAACAAAATGATAGTTTACATTGTTGATGTCTCTTGCACAAAAGTTAATTAGTTTGATATACTTAATAAAAATGATTGCTTTATTAAATGCCTAATTATAGAAACCAACTCTAATTATACTTTGTCTACGCTGGATCTGCCCTTCCTTCTAACTAATAATCCTTATTTTTATAAAATTAGAAAAGAAAGTTTCATTCAATAAAAAGAAAGTTACAATCAGTGGGGATAATGAGTACCCACTCAATCCAAACAACATAGAACCCAAAAACATACATTACAAATTTTCAAATTCCACCATGAACATTTTCAATCTGTAACATAGCCCGAAAGCCTGCCCCAAAAGACTCTTTAGATATACACAAATTTTTTGCTTACTTGCTTCCATTCAAAACAGGCTCTGTAGCAACAATATCACTAGGAGAATGTGGATCCCTAAATGCTTTTTGAGAAACAACCATAGCAAACATAGTTGTCAAGGCGATGCCTAGGCAACATGGCGCCCTTTGAGGCTCACCTCGCCTAATCGCCAAGCAGTTTTGTACTATTTATTATAAAATACTTTTTAATCTTTATTTTTTGACATTATATTTATAAAATAGGCACTAAACTAAAATATTCATTTTGTGTGTTTATATACTAATTTCTTTTTATTATTTTCTTATTTGTTAGGGTTTAATCAATACAAACATTGCTAAATGCTGTATTGAACCCTCAAAGACTTTAAAACCTGAACCAATAAGCAAGGAAGAACTTAAAATCTAATCAACACATTTTCTACTATTACTTTTTTTCTTCTTTACCTATAACAAAAATAAGGTTTCAGCCCTTATATTTTTTGAATGTTATTTTCCTTCCTTTTCTTCTCATTAATATGTTGATTTTCTATACTTTAACATGAACTCTATACTTACGAAAATTATTGAGGAAATATAGTTATGGTACCTAGGGAACTATCCTAGGATCTATGTTTTCTACATAAAAAAATCCATTGCCTAGGCAACTAGGCACCCCCCTGTCGCCTAGCCTCACCTCGGCGCCTTGAAAACTATGATAGCAAAGATGAAGCACAATATCCCCTGATCATTTGCAAAACAAACACCTACTATGCATTTGATAGCCCTTTCTTCATAGATGATCTTGTATGAGAATACTGTCTCCTGAAAATAATTGCATTGTTTGTGCATATAGGTTTATTAGAAAATCTTGACTATACATATATAATGATCCTTATACAAGGATATATTATGATACTAAATTAGTAAATTATAGTTTGATATATGGTTCACTACCTTGGCTGACCCCATATAGTTGGGATAAGGAGAAGATGATGGTGATATATGGTTCACTACCTTATTATGGTATCATTTGTTTACTTTCTGGCACCCCACAGATGTAATTCTATTCATAGTCTCAACTGCAGAAATTTCATTGTTCCAGGTTATTGTCTCTAGGATGAGATACATATCATCACAAACAGAGCGTCCTGTGCGGTTTGTAGGCCTCTCAACAGCACTTGCAAATGCACGGTATGTCGTTTGTTCTTGAATTATATACTTTTGCTTCAGTATCTCTTCCATCTCTTCCATCGCTGGTTCTTCGTGTAATTTCTGTATCCAACAATGTCTTCAACTATGTCCTTTCCTTATCTAGGTAATATAGCTTGCCACCTATTGACCTTTCGGGCCACTTATTTTGTTACTTGTAGCTGGTTCTTCTGATAACTAGTTTTTCCCCTCTTTTATATATCATAGGATTGAGCAAAATCTACAGCTTTAAAGTTTTTCAGATATTGTTTGCATTCGTTAACAGATATGTTACTCATATTTGATAGAAGCACATTTTTCCTTGTAAAACTTTGTAGTCTTATATAAAAAGCATTAAAACAGTACATCTGTCTCTCATGTTTCATGAACACATTGAAGATACGATTTTGTACATATAATTTTACTTAGGTTATACATATTTGGAACCACAAAATGACTTAAAGTTTTAACTACTATTTACTAAGCATGGGTGAAAGTTAGTTTTTGCTCAAACCATCTAAAACTTAAACCTGGTTGATGCAAATAGGCTTTTAAGCTGTTCACTGCTTGAAGTTCTGCATCTTATCTGGATTTTATAATTAAAAGATGCAAGCTGATTTTAAATTTAGTTCCAGCTTGTATTGATGTGTTCTACAACCAAATCTGACTATGTATTTTCTTCAATGCTACCATAACACTCTAGCCATGCCAATATAGATAGTAGCAGCTGTTATTGATTCAGTTGCAGACTGGGTTATGATATCTTCAGAATTTAATCAAGTTACTAGGTAGGATCTAGTTATTTAAAAGGCATGCCTAGGCACATAGGTGAGGCGCATTTTAGGGTAGGCACCTCGCCCAGGTCCTAGGCACAACCCTTTCAAAAGGCGCCTGCCTGGTGTGCCTTGTGCCTCAGCCGAGGCGTGCGCCTTTTGAAAATTTGACGCTTTTTTGCTTTTTTTGTGTCTAGCATCTGGGCAAGGGGCTCCGCCCCCGGACCCCCATGCTACGCCCTTTGAGGCAAACCCAAACAAGCAATTAAAAAGCAGTTAAAACTATAAAATCATTATTTCTTGTGTGAGAACTAAGAATTTAAAACCTAACATGGACTTCTTTGGGCTTGCCTTGAGGAACGTGTCACAAAGGCGGCTTGTAGAATCAGGAATGTAATATGTTTTACATCACATTAGCTACTTGAAGTAATGCAATTGAGAAGAAAAGAGATTGTGGGTTTTATATGCTTGAAAATGTTTTATATATTTGATTTTATTTTTAAATTCTCATTTGAATATGCTTTACATGTTATATTTATGTATTTTAATTTTAGATAATAGGCTTTTTAAAACATTTATTTTAAAATTTAAGTTTATATTTTTATTAATATTATGTTTAATAATTTTTTGATTCTTTTTTCATTTTTTTTTAATTTTTGGCATTTTTTTACATTGTTTTTGATTTTTTAGTTTTTTTATTTTTTATTTTTGTGCCTTGCCTTGCGCCTTGGGCACAAATTAACCCCTGCGCTTTTAAAACATTGGGAGGATCTAGGGGATAAGTTGGGGGGATATTCTGGGATTTCAACTTTGTAACTTGGAAAATTTATTTTAAGTTTGTTTCCACAGTAGTTTTTTATGGAAGATTTATAGTCTATGTGTTGTCCCAAACCCCCACCTATGCTACACTACACCCCCCCCGAATTGTGATGGATCCCCCCACCTATCACTGTTCTCAAGGGTACAAACTCAAAGATTTATGAGCTGGACTGAACAATAAAATCCCCTTTTTTTTCTGTTTGTTCTGATTATGGGTGATGCCTTGCACCTTCTAGACTGTATGTTATTTTCTTCTTTAATGAAAACTTGCACCATGTCAGTACTTGTCTTGATGCTTCTTGTAGCACATAATTTTCAAGGTGCCAAGGGGAGGCTAGGTGAATGAGGGCACCTTGTTGCCTAGTTGCCTAGGATATTATTTTTTCTCTAATAAAAATCTTGAATCCTAGGTAATTCCCTTGGTTTCATAGCAACCATCAACCATCTTTCACTTGTAATTAAAACATAGAAAATCAACATACTTTTCTATTGGTAACATGTTACCTTATTGAATTGAAAAATGAATTTGATAATATTTACAGGAATGATAAAGTGCCAATCATCCCAATCACCCCAAAGTGGTGACTTGTCCTCTTTTTCTATCCCCAAAGTGTTTGAAATGATGTTACAATTAAGACACATCACAGAAATTCAATGTATTCATGAGAAGGAAAAGATTAATGAAAAGAAAATTCAGAAAATATAGGGGGCTCAGCCCCTATTTATGTTCTAGCAAAAGGACAAAAAGCAAAACAGTAGAAGAAGAACGTGTTGGTTGGATAAAATTATAAGTTCTTCCTTGCTTATAGGATAAAATTATAAGTTCTTCCTTGCTTATAGATTCAGGTTTTGAAGTATTCAAGGGTTCAAGATGGCATATACCAACATGTGTTTATTGAACCCACAGATCAAGAATAAGAATCAGTGGTTCTGTAAAGATAAATTTCTTTTTTATTATCCCTAGTTCATAGCTTTAAATTTTTTTTGCATTCTCTTCTATAAGCTGGAATTTTGTCCCCTCTGATTTTTCCCAGTGGTACAGAAAAGGCATTTTCCAATGAGAGAAAACATCAATTTCTGACCTCTATGAAATTAATGACACCAAAGAAATTTGGTCGTTGGGATTCCACAATTCTCAGTGATTGAGGAACAGAGAAATGGCTGGTTGTTTGCATACAGTGGATTTTTAAACATTTTTGGTTATAGAGCCTATCAAATATTGGCTCAGCTGATCAAGAAATCTGGGTATAGAGCCTATCAAATATTTTTGGTTAATAATTTTTAAACAGATGAGACCATCAAGTAATGGATTCTTTCCTCATAATGAAACATGGGATCCTCCTCAACTATACAAAGTTATCATTATGGTAGAGGCATGGGGGTTTTTTTATACCACTTATATGTTATTATCCAATTAGCCCAATAGAATAGAAAGAAATGTGACTTTTGGGGCATCTTTCACATCTTTGACAATTGATCATCCTCTTAAGTGGTTCTTAGAGAACTGCACAAAGGATTTAGGTATGTAAACCATAATACCTCTTCTGTTTCTCTTTTTGTGCAAAGTTGATAGAGTTCCTTTTTTCCATACTTGCATATTGGTGACACATCATATTTAATAGAAATGTACTTTACCTTTGTCAAGAAAAAAGATCAGGTTGAGGTCAAAGGAGACTTATAGGTAGTGATTGAGTGGATGTCTTGGAATTCTGGAAGCTGCTTGACTCCAGGAAATTTTGTCTAGAGAAGCTAGATCTTTAACTGACAGAGTGAACAAAAAGGCCAGTTATTTGACGTTGATTCTCTTGCAGATTTCTTAGCTAGCAATGTACTGACCAGGAATGACATTTTGTTGTGGTGCATTGCTTATGCAGTAGGGACCCTTCACTTTTTTTTCTGCTTGTGTATAATTTGCTTTGTTATTGGTTTTCAAAGATTCCAATGGTTATCATTATGTTGGCTCTCTTAGGGTGTTATCCAACTATGCTAGTTTTGATATTGTTTCGAATGCTGCTACAGTAGTCCGAACCAGGAAGAGAAGGAAGAAGAAGAGAAGAAGAAGAGAAGAAGAAGAGAAGAAGAAGAGAAGAAGAAGAAAGAAATTAAGGGTCTGTCGAAATCTGTTGGATTACCCCTATAGTCGACCCCCTTAATCTTCATTAGATTCTAATGATCTTTACAAAGACAAAAATGCCCTTACTTAAGTGTGGGGCAGAGCGACTCTAATAACACTGCCACATAAGCAAGCTACTTAACAAGCATAAGAAGACTAAACTACCCCTATTCGGCACACTTTAACAGATATAATTCAGAACCGTGGCCTGTTCTGAACCTTTGGCTGTATAGGACTGTTTCTTTGAAAGACGAAATTTCACTAAAAGAGAAAGAAAAGTAAAAGAGGGAGAAGTTCCTTCCTTGCTAGAGATACAGCAGGGACATGTAGCCCAAGAAAAAGAAAAATTAATAGAAATTACAAGGCAAAATTATCATACCATTTTATGCTGCCCCAATGATTGTAAAAGTAGCTGAACTTGAGATTAACTCTCACAAATTTTTTCAATTGGCATGGACTAGTTCTCAAAAGTTCTGCTATTTCTTTCTCTGCATATCCACCAACAGACAGCCAGGGGAGCCATGTTCCAGAGAAACCCACCCCAGTTGCTGAAAGTCTGCAGATGCCAAATAGAAATCAGTTTATGTCAGGGGCTCAACCCGTATAACTCCAAAAAGCCAAAATATATGAGTCCATATTGCATTTGTGAATCTGTCGCATGGCATAGACAATGGTGGTTGATGATTACCATCCCTTTTAACCTCAACACATTAATTGTTTAAATCTTCCCCTTGATTGGTGCCCAAAGGGATGGTGGTTGATGATTACCATCCTTTTTAAGCTCAACACAGTAACGGTGGTTGATGAGTACCATCCCCTTTAACCTCAATGCTTCAATCATCCACATGTCTTCTCAAACATGAAACACATACATATTGCTTAGCTATTAACACATCAATTGTATAGGACCCATTTGTTTCGCATCTCTTGTTCGATATCTGTCTGTAATTTTTGTGCATTAATTTTTTTCTCTATATCTTTGATGTCATGTATCTTCTCATAAAATTTTCAAGAATCTTCTTATTCATGCACAGTGATTTGGCTGATTGGCTGGGTGTTGGGGATATTGGACTTTTCAATTTTAAGCCTAGTGTGAGGCCAGTGCCTCTTGAAGTTCACATCCAGGCAAGTTGCTGAAATGTTCATATGGATAACTCAATTTTAATTTCTTGAAGAGTTGCATTTTTTCCAAGGAATCTGAATTTTACTTTATGAAAAAAGTCAGGAAAAATTAATAGAATTCCAGGGATTCTCTATGTTCATTAAATAAATGGCATCTTACCTTGCAGAGATTTCCAATATAAGAATTTATTAATAACGGAAATGTAATGCAATTAGATAGGTTATGGGTGAAGCTTGCAGGGTTCTAAAGGGTACAAGAAAGGTCGTTGTTGGTTTTAGGTGGTTTACAAGGAAAAATGCTATAAGGGTGCAATTTAGGCTGGGTTAGCCTAAACCTGTAGAGAAGATGGGCCGAATGGCCCATAGGCTGTTATTCTTTCTTACTGTTTATGTTCCTTTCTGTAATGGGCCTTATTCTGGGCCCATCCTCTTCTATGTTATGTT